CTCTGACCACTTTGCCCACCCACATGCATGAGGCTTTGAGTGCCCAGCAGGGGACAGGTCTAAGGGGCCCCAACCCTCTCCTCAATCTTTATCCTGATTAAATTTCAGAACCATTATAAGAAAACAAGACCCAAATATATGCTGTCTGTCTACAAAAGACCCACCTCAGAACAAAAGACTCACACAGGCTGAAAAAAGCCACAAAAACTTCTGGAGGACTTTAAGGGAGAGATTGACAGCAATACAGTCACAGTCGGGGACTTAACACCCCACTGACTTCACTGGATAGAGCATCCAGACAAAAAATCAACAAGGAAACAGTGACTAAATGACACACTTGATCAGATGGATTTAATTGACATTTACAGGACATTTCCCCCAAATCTTCAGAATATACATTCCCCTCAAGTGCAGATGGGACATTCTCAATGACAGACCACATGTTAGGACACAAAACAAGTCTCTACAAGTTCAAGAAGATTGAAATCATATTAGGCATCTTCTTGGACATTTATACCATGGAATACTATGCAGCTGTGAAAAAGAAGGATCCCTTACCCTTGAGACAGCACGGTGGGACCTGGAGAGTATTATGCTGAGTGAAATCAGCCAGTCAGAAAAAGACAAGTATTTCATGATCTCACTCATATGTGGAATCCAATGAACAAAATAAACCGATGAACACAATAGATCCAGAGACACAGAAGCATGGAACTGACAGACGAATCTCAGAGGGAAGGCAGGGGTGGGAGAGTGGGTGGGGAGAGATTAACCTAAGAACTTATATGCATCTATGCATAACCCATGGACACAGACAATAGTGGGGTGAAGGCCTGGGAGAGGGGTGCAGTGGGGAGGGGTCAACGGGGGGGGAAAGAGGGACATTTGTAACACTTTTAACAATAAAGATAAATTTAAAAAGGGGGGCAAAACACCCCCTTAAAGTTAACATAATGAAATTTTCATTTTCAAAGATGATGTCACAGCCCTGATGGGGTAGCTTGGTTGGTTAGAGTGTTGTCCTGATACACTAAGGTTGTGACTTGATCTCTGGTCAGGGAACATACAAGTAATAACCATTGAAAGCATAAACAAGTGGAACAGCAAATGAATGTCTCTCTCTTTCCCCATCCCTCTCCCCTCCCTTCCTCTCTCTCAAATCAATAAATAAAAGAATTAATAAAAGATGATGTCACAGAAATAATTACTGTGTTAACGCCCTTGTCACTGTGTTGAGAGCAGCTGCTATTGTCTATATGTTCTATTGGAAACACTGAGATAATCATTTATCTTTCTCTGTGTTTAATGTTAATCTTTTGCTTTGGAATGGCTTCTCTTTGTGAAGCTGTACGACTTTTGCTTTTTATTTTCGGATGAGAGTGTATATGTGTGTATTATTTGTTCTTCCTTATTTGAAAATCCCAAAGGAAGTTAAATTATGCATTAGTGTCTAAGAGAGTGTTACAAATGAAGACCCTCTCTTAAAAGGAACTCTGTTTTCATCTAATGTGCAGTTTTAATTACTACTAACTTGCTTTCTTTAAAGATAAAACTTCCTCCACGATTGTGCTGTTTACTGAAGCAGTAAAAAACATTTTTATATGTCATATCTAGAGTAGCTCAATATGTTGAAGGATACAAACATTTGTGTATTTCAGTATGCCAAATTCAAATTATTTTATACATACATGTGATGCTTATTTTCATTAAAGTAAAGGAGCTCAATTTATTTTCTCAACAAATGCAATAACTTTAAAGAGCTATTAAATTGCTTTAATTAATTTTTTAGAAGTTCAGACCATTGCCCAGCAGACTGAGGTCGGGTTTCTCCTTGCCGTCTTTGCCTGGCCGCTTCCCAGGTTCCACCGACGCGGGGAGAATACAGCAGGCTCTCTGAGGGCCCCCACCCTGGGCCCCGCCGCCCAAGCGCTGAAAGGCCGCATGCGGACTTTCGTGTTGACCCGTCCACAGCTGCCTTAGCCACCCCACTTCTTAGTAGGTGCTTCGAGATCCCCCTTGACTCTCCCCTCTCCCTCCCCCCTTTGTTTTGCCATCAAAGTTCGCCTTTTCCACTCCATTTCCTAATAACCGTTTAAAGAGCCTCCCTGCTGGGGCGAGTCCGGCTCTGCCTCCGGTCTCTCCCTCAGCCACGGAGCCGCAGGAATGTGTAAGGCCTGCGACAGGACCACTCAGTCAGGGGCGCTCACCTCTTCCCGCTGGATTGTCAAATAAAACAAATGACAACGGCCAACACAACAATAGCTGTCCGGTGTAAATGAATCAAAATTACACCTTTTTTTTTCTTCAGATTGGCAAAAAATATCTCTTTTGGTGTGCCATGGAATTTTAGTAATCATTAGATTTCACATATGAGCGAGATCATGTGATGTTTGTCTGTCGCTGCCTGGCTTATTCACTCAGCATAATGTTCTCCAGGTCCCTCCATGCTGTTGCAAAGGTACGATTTCCTTCCTCTTTACAGCCGCCTAGCATCCCTGGTGTGAATGTCCCACAGCTTTCATCCATCATCTACTGATGGGCACGTGGGCTGCTCCGGATCTTGGCTATTGTAAACTGCGCTGCTATGAACATAGGGGCGCATAAGTTCTTTCTAATTGGTGTTTTGGGATTCTTAGGACATATTCTCAGAAGTGGGATCACTGGGTCAAATGGCAGCTCCATAGTTACTTTTTTGAGGAACCTCCACAGTTTCCTACAGTGGTGCCCCAGTCTGCGTTCCCACCAGCAGGGTACTAGGGTTACCATTTTATTGTGCATTTTCTTATGCAGTCAGTGTGCCAACTCCCCGAGGGTTGGATCCATCATCTTTAATTCCATTGGTAACTGCTACCTTTAGTAACCAATCACAGCACAACTGCTGCTTCAAACCAGGGGCGACACTGTGGTTGCAGGGAAATGCCCCGCCTTTCCATCTTGCTCTTCCCAAACCACGTTTTTCGGTGAGTTGAGGTCATCCTAGTAAGTCACACATTTTCCGACGCCAACTGCAATATTGCAATATAGTTCTGACACTAGCCAGTTAGCTCAGACACCACCACCAGGTCAAGGGCACAGTCCCCAATATGACTGCCCTCACTCCAGGCACCAGCTGCAAGTTCAGGGGTCCCCAGGCTACACCCACTTCTGACCAACTGGCTACAAATTTAGGAGTTTACACAAATCCCTCAGGTTTGGTATTTTGCTCTGTTGGATAAGTCTTTGTTTTCCTGAGGCCTTGGCCATGCCAGGTACTTTTTGCTGATAATGTGATTTATGGTTGGGGCCAAGGGCCACCCACTATCACTTTGACCTTCAGAGACCTGGAGCCTGAGTAACTAAGGACACTCCATTCCTCTGTAACTGATCCCCAACAGAAACCCTGGAGGAGAGGCCCAGGTGACCTTCTGGGTTGGCCATACTTTGTGTGTGTTGTCACACATTGCTGCTGGGAAAATGAGGTGCTGTCTGTATAAATCCACTGGAAGAAGACAACTGGAGCTCACACTCCTCTCTTGCACTCTGCCCTTTATGCCTTTAACCTTTCCTGATTTCAGTCTGTATCCTTTCACTGTAATAAACTATAACTATGGACATAACCATTTGATGGGCACTAGGAAATCCCTGAAGCTGAGGGTGCTCTTAGGGACCCCCGACAATCTTCTTTCTATACTTTCGGCAACCAACCTAACGCTTGACAAACACTCGATCACATAACCTTTCTGAAATCCCTATTACAACTGCTCAGGAAAAAATCTATGAATTATCCCAGATATGTTCTTTCCTTTTATATTCTACAATCAATCATTGGCAAGTCCGATCAGCCCATCCTTCAAAATATATCCCATATTGAACCACTTCCCACCTTTCTGGTCCTACCATGGAAGCCCAGTCCCCTCTTCCCTGAAGTCCCTATCTCCTCCAGCCTTTTCCCACTTCTGTCCCAACCACACAGACCTCTTCCTGACCCTTGAGCAGTGACCTCAGGGCCTTGGATTGCAGTTTCCATGCATGGATATCTTCTCCCAGATCTGCCGTGATGGTTCCTTCCACAACTCTGCTCTAGTGTCACCTCCTCAAAAAGGCCTCCCCTTTCCTTATCTGAAACACTCTATTCACCCCCATGAGCAGTTCCCTAACTTCATTTTACTTTTTAAAAAAATATATCTTTATTGATTTTAGAGAGAGGAAGGGAGAGGGAGAGAGGGAGAGAGAGAGAAACATCAATGATGAGAGAGTCATTGATCAGCTGCCTCCTGTATGGCCCCGACTGGGAACTGAGCCCGCAACCCGGGCATGTGCCCTGACTGGGAATTGAACCATGATCTCCTGGATCCTAAGTCTATGCTTGACCACTGAGCCACACCCAGCCGGACTCACTTTACTTTTAATTGTGTTTCTATCACTATTTAGCTTCTATTATTATTTTTCTTGCTTGTTATGTAAGGTTGATGAAGGCGGGGACCTAAATTTTCTTGCTCACTGCTGCAGCCCAAGGGCATAGTGAGAGCTCAGTAAATCCATGTTGAATGAGAATGGATGACACCCTGAAAGCCTGGGAGGCAGGACAGGGCCACTTACCCCTATTATTTGGGGTGGTGGTGGAAACTATGGCTCTGGAAAGCAGTTTGACTCGTCCTTTGTCACAGAGGTCAGAGGTTAAACCCAGGAGCTCTTTTCAGTTCCTTACACTCTCTCCCATATCAAGGCTAGGGAAAGTAGAACCTATTCTAGAACAATCCTGAGGGCAGCCCTGTGGAGTTCAAGGAGCAGCTTGGAGGGAGGGTAGGAAGGAGGGCTCCTAAACCTCCCACAGGCCAACCTCAGGCAGCGGCTTCCCCACACTGGAGGTCAGTGCCCACACAGAGCCTGCTACACAAGGAAACGGAACTTCCTTCCCTGCACTTCCCTCTGAAGGTCTGACTCCCAGTGCTTGAGGTCTCGTCTCAATCCTCAAACCTCTGCCTCCCTGCCCCATCCCCAGCTGCCTTCTCCACTCCTACCTCTCACAGGGTGGGGGTAGGGCCTCCTGGGACCCCAGCGCCAGGCCCAGCAGAATCAGCAGGCGCAGCTCCCAGGTCCTCTCAGGCATGGTGTCTATGGCTGTAGCCGAATGAACAAGCTCAGGCACCTCCTGCTTGCTGGGGCACAGCTTAGCTCATGCACCCAGCCAGAGCAGCCAAAGTCCACATTTGAGGCGTGGTCACCCAAGGGGTATGTGATGCACTTCTGCTCTCAGCTCACAGTGGCCACCCCACCCCCAATCTTTGTACTTTTCCTCCTCTTCTGTTTCTCAGTCTCAACTGGTATCACCTGCTCAGGCCCCTCTGTCAGACTCACATGGTTGAGGAGTGGGCATGGGGGAATGGGCACCTGAGCGCAAGGGACATAATTAGGCCACACATCTATGAACCAGGTGCCAGTGGCTTGGGTGGTGGCAAGACCACCACTTCAGGTTACCATTCCTTTAACATTTCTAACAGAATAGCTCAGGATCTATCCAGGTGTAGTGTGAAACTCAATTATCTACAAGAAATGCTGCAGGAGAGTAGGACAAAGACATCCCTCTGAGGAAGATGCAGGGAGGCCGCACACAGTGGTGACATTCCCAACGGGCCTTCAAGATTACTGAGGAGTCTGCCAACGGAAAGGGCAGAGACCATTCCAGTGTATGCAGAGCACACTTTAAAGGACCGGGAGAAGCCCAGCCTGGCTGATAGAACTTGGAGTTGGTGCAGGGGAGGGTGTGAGGCAAGGCCACAGGGACCTGCTGGCACGAGCCTGCAAATAGCCTTGGCCAGGCCAAGAAGGCAGCAGGTTCCCAGGGAGGGAACCAGCAGAGACGCTTGTGAGCTGAGGCAGCAGGACTGGATGTGCTTTAGGAAGCTCACCCTTCGGTATTAGGGAAGATGCATTAAGGGCAGAATGTGGGGCAGGGGCACATTAAGAGTCTGGAACAATGACCCCGGATTGATGACGTGGGCCTGAGGTGACGGGTGGGGGAGGAGCCTACTGCCAGCCATCACCATCAGAGTCCAGTGACTGCATGTATGTCTTTACGAGGGACCATATATCCTTCCTTTATGTCCCAGGCTCGCTGTCCAGGATGTCAGTGTAGTGCCTGGGCAGTGTCTGCCACTAGATGAGATGGCCTGGGCCCTGTGCTTTCCTTGGACAGTGCCCTGCTCCTCCCCAAACAGTCCCCTCCTTCCTGCCACCCCTGACTCCAGATGCTAAATACTTTCTTCCTTCCTCCCTTCCTTTCTTTTCCAATTTTTTCCCCCTCTTTACCTTTTTTAAAAATTTATCTTTATTGTTGAAAGTATTACAGGTGTCCCATTTCCTTCTCCCAATTGATCCCCTCCACTTTGCTCCCACCCCCTCCCCAGGCCTTCACCCCNTTTTTCCCTCCAATTGATCCCCTCCACTTTGCTCCCACCCCCTCCCCAGGCCTTCACCCCATTATTGACTGTATCCATGGGTTATGCATATATGCACATAACTTTGTTGGTTAATCTCTTCCCAGCCTCCACCCCCCTTCCTTCTTTCCTCTGAAATAGGATCATCTGTTGCATGCATCAGTGTCTCTGGATCTATTTAGTTCATCAGATTCTTTTGTTCATTAGCTTCGTCTTAAAGAAGACCCTTTAACTTTTCCTGTAGTGCTGGTCTGGTGGTGACGAACTCCTTTAGCTTTTCCTTTTCTGAGAAGTTCTTTATCTGATCTTCAGTTCTACATGATAGCTTTGCTGGGTAGAGTAATCTTGGTTGTAGTTCCATGTTTTTCATCACTTTGAATATTTCTTGCCACTCCCTTCTGGCCTGCAAGGTTTCTGTTGAGAAATCAGCTGACAGTCGTATGGGTGCTCCCTTGTAGGTAACTAACTGCTTTTCTCTTGCTGCTTTTAAGATTCTCTCTTTGTCTTTAACCTTTGGCATTTTAATTATGATGTGTCTTGCTGTGGGCCTCTTTGGGTTCCTCTTGTTTGGGACCCTCTGTGCTTCCTGGACTTGTAAGTCTATTTCTTTCCCCAGGTAGGGGAAGTTTTCTGTAATTATTTTTTCAAATAGGTTTTCAATTTCTTGGTCTCTTTCTCCCCCTTCTGGCACCCCAATAATATGAATGTTGGGCCTCTGGAAGTTTTCTCAGAGGCTCCTTATACTATCTTCATATTTCTGGGNTCCTTATACTATCTTCATATTTCTGGATTCTTTTTTCTTTTTGCTCTTCTGGTTGGGTGTTTTTTGTTTCCTCATGTTCCAAATTGCTGATTTGATTCTCAGCGTCCTCTACGCTACTGTTGATTCCCTGTAAATTATTCTTCATTTTGGTTCGTGTAGCCTTCATTTCAAATTGGTACTTTATAATGTTATCAATTTTCTCAGTTGTTTTTGTAATAGTATGCTTGAGCATCCTTATAAACAAAATTCTGAACTCTGTATCTGTTAGCTTCCTTGAATCTATTTCATTTAGCTTCTCTTCTAGAGATTTCTGCTGTTCTTTCCTTTATGACATGTTTCTTTGCCTCTGCATTTTGACTGCTTCCAGGTGTTTGTTTCTAGTATTAGGTAGAGCTGCTATGTCTCCTGGAATTTGTAGAGTGGCTTTGTGTAGTAGGTGTCCTGTAGGGTCCAGTGGCTCAGCCTCCCCAGTCACCTGAGCTGGGCCTTCTAGGTGCTCCCCTGTGTGGGCTGTGTGCACTGTCCTGTTG